ATATGAGTGAGGCCTGGGTGGCCTGGTCACCACTCCCACAGGCAGCCTAAGATCAGCCTCAGAAAGAAAGGCCACTGGGATCTCATACAAGAGCCATAATCAATTCTGCCTTGTTTGGGACTAGAAAGTTAGGAGGGAAATACATATTTTGGTTAACAAAAAGAATGAAAAATTCCACAGGATGTTCAGACTCTAACAAGGGGACATCAGATTGAATATGTATGCATGACTTCTAAAATCAACTTACAATCAAAAGAGAGGGAGCCTTTAATAACACTGAGGACAGAGACGCAGCTCTTTCATAGACTGCATTAGCGGTTGGCACAGGGCATAGCCGGCCAGAAAAGTTATCACGAGCCTAGACCACTCTACCCAAACAATCATATTCTGGGGATGGGAGTAATATTCCTGCTCCAGAGCTTCCTTTGGGTTAGCCACAGTTCAAGAGAAACTGAGACAAAAGTAAACCCAAGAAGCATGTGGTCCCAAGGGTGGAACTCAAGCCAGACCACAGAGAGTCACCAAAGATGTCCTATAAAAAGGGACTGGGCTTGTTCTGTGCGACCCCTCGGAGTAGGATACAGGCTTGGAAGAGCACCTCAAAGCACGCTAAAAATGACCTGCTGAAACCTAAGTTATTATGTGTTCTTTCTGGGATTTTATTTCAGGAACGTGCATGCAAAATGCTCTTTACTGTCTATGATATATTGCTTAGCCTCAAGCTGCATGCTGTATTTATGGCAAAGCTGAGCAACCTGCTCATTGTGGTAATTCCACAGTGAAAACCCTTTGCCTGAGACAGTGCAATCTTGCCTGGGTCCAGCAATGGTTACCTGGAGCTATTTAACACGAACAGAAAAGCTACGTGATCACCTATCGACAAATTGTTGATACGTTTATAAAACACAATTCTAGGCAACTGAAAAAAAATCCCTAGATATGTCTACATGAGTTGATAGGGAAATAGCCTCAGATATAATAAGAAAAACTAGGTTTAAATAGTGCCTTTCTGTTTTATTTTTAAAGGGATGTGATTAACAGAACAGTGCCCTGTGGAGTAAAGGGAAATATGCAAGGTTATGCGGGATCAGGTCTGGGCTCCAACTACTCTTGAGAAAATAGATGGAGAAGTTTCCATCCTGCTGGGAATGGAGCTCAGTTGACAGAGTTTCTGCTCTGTCTGCATGAGGCCCTGCTTTCCAGCCCCAAGAATTAACTAAAATGGAGGCACATACCTTTCCTCACCACACGGAAGTTGGTAGCAGAAGAATCAGAATTTAAATCTTTAGCTACATGGAAAGTTCAAGGCCAGCCTAGGGTGCATGAAACCCAGTCTCGAAACAAACAAAAACTAAACAGAACAACAACACCACAAAACCCTGCCATCATTCTTGTGTGGTACAAATATTAAAATTATGACATTTTTATTACCGAAAGGTAACTATGCTTTTTCATATTCTGTTCCAATGGGTTTCTGCAGCCTTCTTGAATCCAACTGGGAACCAAATTTTTAAAGATTATTTTTTAAATTATGTTTATGTTCGTATGTCTGTGAATGGGTTTGTGCATGTAAGTACAGTTGCCTTTGAGGCCAGGAGAGGTTGTTGGATCCTTTAGAGCTGAGGTTGCAGACAGTGTGAACCACCCAGTGTGGTGCCAGGAACCAGACTCTGGTCCTCCGGAAGAGCAGTACATGCTCTTAACCACTGAGCCATCTCTCCAGCTTGGGAACCAACTCTTTCACCAGAGATTTTAGGTATAAAAGAATCCACACTAAGAAGAGATTGGCAGCTATCCAACTTTACTGGAATTATAATGACGTAACATAAGAGGACCATTTTTAAACTCCTTTTCTGACTATGTGATGTGAGAGCGGCTAATGGAACACAATTGTGAAGCATTGTCAGGGGGTTTAGATGCATCTTCCTGGTTCCTATTCTATAACAGAAAGTTCAGTCACTAGGAGTTGTTTTGATGCCATGTCCAGTCAGCAGAATAATACTGTTAGGCTCTCCCCTAGGACCTACAACATATCTAGCCCTGGGTTCTCAGCCCTGTTAATGGTGCCAGGGATAGGTTTCATTTCATGGGGCAGGCCTTTGGTCGAAACCTAAGCATTATGTTTTTATTATTATGATTCCTATTCATTTGTGTCCATATCTGTGTGTGCACATATGCACACACGCACGCACGCATAAGCACATAAAGTATTTTCCGCAATCATTTTATATCTTTTGTTGCACTTTAGAAAAAGAATCTCACTATGTCTCCTTAGGTAGCCTGGAACTCACTATATCAACCAGGTTGACTTCAAACTCACAGAGACCTGCCTACCTCTGCTTCCAAAGGGTTGGCATAAAAGATGCGTTCCATCTTATCGGACCTATTTTATTTCTTGACTGATGGTGTCTCGTTGGACTCGGAGAGCACTGATTTAACCAGACTGGCTGGTCATAAAGCCCCAGGAATCCTCCTTTCCCTGCCTCCCCAGCACTGAGATTACATAGGTATGCTGCTCGGTGTAGTTTTTATTTACATGAATGCTGGGGATCGAACTCAGGTCCTCTTACTTGGGCAGCAAGCATTTTATGGTCTGAACCCTATCCCCAGGCCTCTCTTACTAACCCCTGAAATTCCAAAGGGGTTGCTGTCCTGTAGTACATATGAAGATACTGAGACAGTAAGTTCAATCAGTTATACAAAGTCATACACAAGGCTGTACTGTTGAACCCCGGAATACACCTTGCTGACCATTAACCCAGGCTGCTTGACCAGATAATGGGTGTCAACATAGTTAGGAGCCGCTTCCCAGTTTACAAGGTTAGCAAATGCAAACCTCCTCTCAATTACTCTAAACCCTGTGTTGTCCCTGTTACCATCTGCCTCTGTGTTTACTTGGAACAAGATGACAAAGGCCAACTGTCACTCTGGATGCCTGAGGTAGCACTGAGAGTCAGAGTCATAAGACTTGACCGTTGGGTTCCCACGGGATTCTTGGTGATGCTTTCCTTCACATAACCCCCACACATCTGTACAGCTGAGTCTCTTCTATCCTGAGACAGCCTCTAGTAAGCCCCCTTTCTTCTTACAACAGACTTCATAATCACTTTTGTGGACCCCTTGTGCAGATCCTAACCCCTTGACCTTCTTCCCACAGCCCACTTTATAAGCGTTGCCAAGAATAAACTCATATATCAGCCATTCTTTCAAGCACCATGGGCTCTAAATGCTCAAGCTCCCCTTGCTTCTGTGGTGTCTTGATTCTCCCATGGCTGCTTGACTGCCAAGGGTGTGTCAAGCACCAGTAGAACTGGCTGATGCCACAGCTTCCTTGGGTTCCTTTCATTCCTTCCCCTTGCCTCATTTATATGCACGTATAACATAAAGACAACCTTTGTACAGCACAGTTCTGGTTTTGTTCCTCCAAAGACATCCCTAGCTCCCAGTAATCTAAGAACACACTCTGAACCCTCCATCTCACCTTGACTCAGAGCTGAGCCCTTGTCTTTGCCTCTGATGTACCTGTTCCCACCATATTCCTTGCCTCGGGCTGGAGTCTAATCATCATTGTCATCTCCTTCCCTTGAATCTTTCCAAAACACACCTTTCAGGATACATTCTTCGTAGCATTCCCAAAACACATGACCTTCACTATCTGTGCTTTGTTGAAATTCTTTCTATGAATGGGAATCATAGCTGCATTTATAAACACATACTTTATGGAAAGGACAGAAGGAATTAGTCACACAACCCAAAAGTAACCACTGCTCTAATTTTTTTCTCCTATTCTTAAATTAAATTACATTTAATTAAAAAGGAATTAAAAGGAAGGTTTTAACTTTAATATAGCAAAATTGCATATGACAAAACAGTTCCAAGCAAGAATTACAGGTAGAGGGGGCATTCTCAACTCAGGCCGCCTTGAACTGAACCCTGCTCTGTCTATCCCATTTGATAGTCGATTACCTTGGGCAGGTTAATGCAACCTCTAAGTCTCCATTGTTCTACCAACCAAATGGCTGTGACCGCATCTGACTTCTGAGGATTGGAAGTGATGAATGTTGAGCTGGGTAGATGGTAGGGACTTGATCAATGACTGCTTCCAATGCATCGAAAGGGAGGTGACAGAACAGAGTCACAGTCTCTACATTTGCTGCAAACTGTCCATCACCCAAATGAACTGAGTGAAAACCACCTGAGTGGTAAAAACGCAAAGGAAGCCATCATGCATCAGGGAAATTTGCTATTTACAGCTTGCTTGATGGTTCTCTTGCAAAGGATGGTTCATCTCACCCTTATGCCTTTCCTAAGATGAAAGACAGAATACATAGAACAATATTCATATACTCGGCAGCTGTTGACTGACACCGTCCTTCTTGCTAGGGCATGTGTTAGGCAGTGACAGTCTAGGTAACTGGAAGAGATATTGACCTTAACCGCTTCCAGTGCATGAACAGACAGACACACAAACATCAGCTACAAGCAGGTGGCCGGTGACTTGAGACACGAGGTGTGTGAGACATTCTGCTCTGGAGAAAGGCAACAGAAGCTGACTGGCAAAGCGGGGAGCCCTATGCCAGCATGACCATGAGTCTTCTTTTCTTAGTCATACCCAGCAGAGCATGTCACGGTACATGCTACAGCATAGCACACATATAAAACATTAAAAAGAAAGATTGGGGGTACCAAGTTAGCCTGCACACCAGAAGGGACACAAGCAAATCCAAATACGTGAGGGAAAAAATAATGTGCTAAAGGGGCAGGGGGGGGAGGGAGAAAAAGTGAGGAGGAGGGGCAGAGAGAGAGAGAGAGAGCAGTCCTAGTGGGGGAGTGAGAGAAGAAATGGAGAAGTAGCAAAAAATAGGAAAAAGAAAAACGAAATGGGATTTGTTTTTTTAATTTTGTATTGGGGGAAGGGAGTTACCACTTGAGTTCCCATGCCATTCCAAACCTTTCTCCTTCAAAATCTCTACTCAAACACATGCACACTTTGTGTTTAGATTTCCTGATGGCTGATGGTGTTGATGTGTCAGAATCTGGATTCACTAGAAGAAGAGCCTCCAGACACACCTGTATACAAAAGGAAAATTCTAACTGACCATCCCGGCCACCATTGCCCCTCTTTCCTAACTGTGAGTACAATGGGACTGGCTGCTTCCCCCTCCCGCCATGACGAGTTCTACCTCAAACTGTGAAGCATCATAAACCCTTACCTCCTCAAGTAGCTTTCTCTCAGCAACAAGAGAAGCACCTAAAATGTATTTCCTTGCCCAATTGACAGTTGTACAAGTCTGTATCCATGAACTACATACATATATGAATGGAATCATACTGGGAGAGTTTCCCCGTGGCTTTTATTTCTTAACAGTACGATCCTGAGATGAACTCACACACATGTAGCTAAGGGAGATTGATATGGACAACTCCAAATCCTAAATACTCTGGTATTCTGATATTAATAAAAGCCCCACGCCATCAGGAGTCAATAACCTCTCTAACTCTTTCCTAGAGAAAAGAGACCTTTGCTCACCCACGTCAGGTTTTCCATTCTCTAATGGGCCGGCTGGAAAACATTGTTCTTTTCCATTCTTCTCACTGCCTGCTTCCCACAGGGATATTGAACTAACGTCACCATGGAAAATGTGTCCGGCGAAACACCCTCTCGGTGAGCCAGGCATTTAGCACCCTCTAGATAGGGTGGGAAACAGGCTCACCACCGCGGCTTCATCCATCTCCCTTGTCCTTCGCTACTCTGTCGTCAAATAATCCAACTCCACCATCAGCTGGTGGGTGCCAAGCATCTACCATATCGCATGCCCAAACCATCCCCTGTGTCATCGCAGAGGGCTAGACTCCTGACTACAGCGTAGACATCTCCTCACACGTGGAATAAATGTTTGGGGGAAGAAACTGTCTTCTGGGGTTCTAGATCGATCCTTTCACTTGTCAAGTTTGCTTCTGAGCCAAAATATCCAAGCCTAAAGGACAACTCGGCATAGAAGAAAGGTCATATCGGGAGCCATTTCTTCTCATTTCAGTCAGGTCCACGACAGCGTGTCCTGCTGGCAGTAGTGTGCCTTTAGTTTCCACTACAGCAGACACTGGGAAATTCCCTTCTCTGAGTTTGTAATGAGATTCTAGGGTAGCCTGGTGGACCTTGGCATCATGGACTCCAAATATTGAAGTTTTCCATCCAAAAGACACCAAAAACATTTTCACACTCGCTTGGTCTGCAATGCCATAGCTAGCCAACCACACCCATCCCCGTGATGCTAACACAGCTGGACACACACCCTGTGTCCCTCTTTTTCTCTACATGGGATTTTCTCACAGCACTAGGAATATTTATTTCTTTGTTTGTTTGTTTGTTTTGCTTTTTCGAGACAGGGTTTCTCTGTGGTTTTGGAGCCTGTCCTGGAACTAGCTCTTGTAGGCCAGGCTGGTCTCGAACTCACAGAGATCCGCCTGCCTCTGCCTCCCAAGTGCTGGGATTAAAGGCGTGCGCCACCACCGCACGGCAGGAATATTAATTTCTATAGGCAGCTCTTCATAACTAAGTTAGGAGCTGGTATAAGCTAGGAAATGGTCTTTGTCATATTTATACCCATAACTGATCTCAGCCAGGCCTTGGCATAGAGGAAGGCCACCAGGAGTGTGTGAACATTCTCCTCTATTCCCTATTCCTGTCTTACCCCATACAGTGATCTGAATGGCTAAGTGCCAGATAAGAAACTCAGAGCTTGAAATAGCTTACAAGGGAGAATATCTCCATGAACAGCCTGCAGAAAATCCTAGGCCAAGTCCTTGATACAAAGGTAAGAGATCATGTGGAGGATACCAAGTATGAACAATGAGTCTGATATTTTAGGATGAATAATTCTGGTAGATGAGCTGACTATATCTATAGATAGATAGATAGATAGATAGATAGATAGATAGATAGATAGATAGATAATCAGGCACTAAAAATAACAACAGATCAACAAGCAAGATGACTTAGAACCACCAGATAGCCATGCTGAAACAACTCTTAAGTCAAGAAGGTTATGTCTAAATGTGTGCAGGTGTGTGTGTGTGTGTGTGTGTGTGTGTGTGAGAGAGAGAGAGAGAGAGAGAGAGAGAGAGAGAGAGAGAGAGAGAGAGAGAGACTTGGGATGATATAGAAGTAAATAATGAATAGAACTCTCTCCTACCCTATACAAACTCATAAGCTAGAGGACAATTCTCCTTGTTCATCTTGGAAATAATATATATATTGAGGCAGGGCCTCTCACCGGCTTGGAACTTACCAAACAAACTAAACTGTCTTCCCAGCATTCTGCCCATTTCCACATCCTCAGTGGTGCTATGACAACCACATGTCGCCTTGCCAGGCTTTTGATACATGGAATCTCAGAACTGAGCCTGGGTCTTGAGCTTATGAGGCAAGAACCTTACCATCTAAACTGTTACCCAGACTGCACCTGCATTGGCTAGTTTTATGTCAACTCGATACAAGATGGTCTTCTGTGGGGAGGGAACCTCAACTAAGAAATTGCCTAAGCTCACAAATGGATGGAGCTGGAAAACACCACTTTGAGTGAGGTAACCCAGATCCAGAAAGTCAATTATCATATGTACTCACTCATAAGTTGTTTTTAATCATAAAGCAAAGAAAACCAGCCCACAAATCACAATCCCAGAAAACCTAGACAACAATGAGGACCCTAAGAGAGACATACATGGATCTAATCTACATGGGAAGTAGAAAAAGACAAGATCTCCTGAGTAAATTGGAAGCATGGGGACCTTGGGAGAGGATTGAAGGGGAGGGGAGAGGCAGGGAGGGAAGCAGAGAAAAATGCAGAGCTCAATAAAAATCAATTAAAAAAAGAAAAGGAACCAACATTAAAAAATTGCCTAAGATCAGAACATAGGCAAGTGTAGTGTAGGACTTTTAAATTAGCAATTGGTATGGGAGGGTTCAGGTCATTGTAGGTGGGGTCACCCCTAGGCTAGTGGTCCTGGTTTCTCTGAGAAAACAGGCTGAGCAAGCCAGTAAGCAGCACTCCTTCATGACTTCTCCATCAGCTCCTACCTCCAGGTTCCTGCCCTGTTGGAATCCCTGCCTTAACTTCCTTTGCTGGTGAACGGTAACAAGGAGAAGTAAGATGAATTAACCCTTTCCTCCCCTTGTTGCTTTTGATCACAGTGTCTCATCACAGCCATAGCAACCCTAACTAAAACAGCAACTATGTTTTAAAAGTCCTCCAATGCCATGCCGTGGAATTGGGGTAACATTCTACGAGAGGATGGCACAAACAGCTCCATGGCACTTGAGATTAATGACTTCCTCCAGATGGCACCCAGGGCGAAGCAAAATTGTCCGAGGAGTTCAGTATCTATTCTCACATCCGTAGGAGTTGAGCTTTAATTCTTTCTCTGACTGTGTTGGCACAAGCCTGGACTGCCTCCCAGCCTAACCTAGTGAGTTCCAGAGAAAGAGACACGATGTCTGACCCACTGGATCCTCTTCCCCTTCACTGTCCTCTTGCTCACTCTCCAAACCTGGCCCTCCTCTGCTGCAGTGAAGACGGGAACTTTCTCTCGCAGACTACGCTATCTACGAAGCTCGAATGCCTGCACAGCCTTTTCAGAAACAAGCCGATAGCGCGTCTGTAATTTTACCTGTTGACAGTTTGCTAAGGGTTTTGTATTGTCCTGAAAGCATCCACGTTTCCTGCATGCCGAGCATGACATTGATCAGAGCAGGCATTCACAGTACTTGACACGCGTCTGCAGAGATCTGGAGCAGAGAGGGCTTTGCCTGGACGATTTCTGAGAAACTTGGACACCATATAGACATTATCCCAAACTGAGATCATCCTGGCTGCATCCGCCTGTGTCCCATACGCTTAAATCTCAAAGACCATCACATTCTGGGGGTGGGGTAAACACCCTAAGCCAAAAATTTTGGCCATTGACCTTATTCTATACAGTCAGTGTAGAAAACCAGAAGAAAAGGGCAATCAGTTCAATCTGATGCTATAAATACCATTGAACTCAATCCTGAGTGTCAGGGCTCCCCAAGGGGACTCTCCTAATCAATGTTACAAGCAGAAGAAATGGTAAACAAAATCTTGTTGACAAACCTAAAATATCGTGTACTAAAACTGATTCAAAATTTTTGAATGATAGACTGAATAGGAAATTAGGAAAATATTAACTTTAAGGAGTAGCATGGAAATAAGCAAGACAATAATACGTTATTTGAATGTCTGCTACTAACTGCAGAATGTGAAAGCCCTGGTTCATTCATGTATTTGGTGGAACTATGAAATGACAGAGAGTATGCTCTGATCTCTCCTGGACTGTGAACGTTCAAATTAAGCGAGGCTAAACTGACTAGGTCTGCACAACTGAGGAGCAAAAGGGAAAGAATATTTGGTGGAAGTTTAGAAATGGAGGCTCTAAATGGAAATAGTGGGGATAGCGCATTCCCATGGGCCCGTCAGCAGCTCTCTGAGACTTGAAATGCAGAGAAAATGCACAAGTGTTCAGAATGTGTTTCTCCAGACTGAGCATCGGTTTCCACCGTACCAAACTGGAGATCCCAAGGCTCCACAATTCAAAATTCCCCTGCAAAAGTGGCCTGTAGAGACATAAGGATATCCTTACTCGGAGGATAAGAGGCCAGAGATGTTTGTTTGAGCGCCTTCTTGAGTTTATGTGCCTGCTTTGTGTGATAAAGACAAAAACAGTCCACAGAGGAATAGCAGAACAAGAAGGGAGGTGTAAAGAAATATTTAATATCCTAGCTAAATATCTGTATGCCTTGCTACCTATCAGACCAGTGACCAAGCCGTAAATCAAAATGCCTACAACAGAAACATTTATTCAAGGTGATATTTTATGAATAACAGAATTTTGGTGTACCATCTGTCTGTGCAATCACCTAGCAGTATCTCGCCTGGGACGATTTTGGGTGGAAACCAATCCCAGAATGGGATCTGGAGTGCTTTCACATCGCATTTTTCTGACATTCTAGAAAACTGACAACTGCTCTCACCAGCCCACCGCCACCTCCATCTAACCTGGAGGCTCTTTCGGATCCTTTCTATATTGGCTTCCAGCAATACATGAGAAGTAGGCTCCTAGGCAAAGAGTCACGGTGGTAGACCCATGGTAAGGATGAGGATTCTGATGGGGCAGCACCGAGCTGAAGCAACACACCCAAAAGTGTGCACAGTACTTCTCAATAACACCAGCAGTGTGCAAGGTAAACAGGACCGAACCGCTCAGTTCAGGTGAACGCTGCGGTCTGTTAGCCTTGTGTTGTATTTTGCCTGTGCTCGAACGAGGACTTGCCTTTGGGTGCCACGGGCCTAGTGATTCTGTTTCTTTGAGAGTTCTTTGGTGGCATTACTGAGGATGCAAGAGTGTTTCTTAGTCCTTCATCTAACCACCCACTCCAGATGACATAAACACCAATATTCAGAGCTGGCAGATGAGTCTTACAGATATTGCATAGAGATCATGTTGAAAATTCATAAGGGGAAATAGAGAATTGTAATGAAAATGATAAACATCCATAAAGTAGGCCAACAATAATATTCTTAAATGAGTCTGTAGAAGATTAATTTAAAACATAGATACCTTTGGTTTCAGGTTGATGGTCCTAAATAGAAGGTCTACATGAAGGTCGATACCAAACCATGGTCTTTGTACCCTTTGGAGACTGGAGGACTTAATTCTAAAAAAGGTAATGGACCTGGAAGTCTTTTGTGCCCTTTGTGGGGGTTGATTTTGTTAATGTCAGGAATAAAAGGGAAAGAGTGTTTACTTGCTTGCTAATTTCCTAAGAATGCTCTCTTTTGCACAAGGCTGATGTCGCTGTTGTTTCCAGATGCCCAGACCCAGTTAGAAACAGCATTGCTTTGCTTTCTTAACTAGAAAAACAAACAAACAAACAAAACCCCTCAATGTCTGGGGTGTCACAGAGACATGAAAATCACTGAATGAGCAATGTCAGCCTTTGTTTTAAAATGCCACAACATTGCATCTAAAGAGAAATGGTGATTCCAAATTACCAACCAACTCTGCAACTTCTTTACCTGACTTCAGAAACACCAGCTGAAATCTCTAAAACATGCTGCGTACCAGGTAAGATTTGTGTGAAGTGTAAGGGCATTTCTGTGGTTCATACTGTGGGCCTGGGAAGGGGATGTCAGGACTAGATTATACTGATGAAATCTCTGAAGCTAGGAATGATGGGAGGATCTCTCAAGGCTCCACACAAAGGACCTTTCAAAGCCTGTATTCTACTCACATCTTTTCATTCAAACTCCCTGATGCTTTTTTCTCGCTATGAGATGGTGGTGTTGGTAGATAGCCCTCTTGATGAGCACCATGAAGCAGCAGGTAAGTTTATTACTGGGCAACTTGAAGCTTCTCCAAAGTAGTTTGTACAAAAGTGCTTGCCTGGAAAGGCCACCATAGACACGGCTGTGAGTTCCTACTTGACTAACGTGTAATTACAGTGAGGTCATAGTTATCCTGATTGCCTATCATCATATGACCGGGCCATGTAGGAAAGGTGTTTCCTCCCAAATCCAGAACATTTGTACAACTGTTTACAATAGAAATAATGCTGGGGATTGACCTGGCATGAAACAGCAGGTCATTTAAAGTCACAGTCTACTAACAGGAAGATGTGCAGGCTCCTGGTGCATGGGAGCTGATTTGCTGTCGTTGTTACCAAGGCCCCAGCCTATACTTAGAATTAAGGAGAAAATGTTCTCCCTAAACTAATGAATAAAAAGCATTTGAGAAGTATTTGGGGACAATAGAGGTGCCCAATTCTACAAATACATAGCTTGTTGGCTTGCCTCTGGGATTTAGGTTGTATCCTAAGAAGGTCTGTTTCCCATTAACAAGAGTATATGTTTTGCAAGACTCATAATGTATAAAGAGTATTCTGGTCAGAGCAGGGTGCCTGACTGATGGATACATAGCCCCAGTAATAAAAGATAACAAACAAAAGTTCTAGAGAAAGAATATTTTGGTAGAGCATAGATGTCCATTTAGGGAATCGAGTTGCACTCAGTGACTGCAGCCATCCGAGGTTCTGAGGACACAAATTTCCATAGAGATTCTTTTCAGGTTCATAAGAAAACCAGTAGCCTAAAAGTTCCCTAAACTCACCAAATGAGTCCTTTATAAAGGCACTTGGTATTTAGACAAGCCACATGGTGGTGGACCCTGTCCACAGAAGGATTTAGAACCCAGAAAATGGAACCGGCCTGGGAACCACACTGTGAACACACTTTCAGAGTGGGAAAGCCTGGGAGAAAATTCATCACGTTTCTAGTTGGGTCCCTAGCAATAGTTGGATGTGTATCTAACCTGTGTGTTTGGTGATACAATGTTCTCCTTGGCCACTAAATTCCCATGTAATTTCTCCTTCCTAGGGCCTAATTTCTGTTCAAAATAATCAACATGCCCATTAAAGTCCTGCCGTTAGACACACCCCAGGCTGAGAACCCTCCCTCACTTAAGGTCCCATGCATCTTTTCTCATTCCTTCTCTTGCCATCTGTCTTCATGACGTCATCATCCACATAGGTTATCTGTAGTTCTGACCCATCAATATTATCCTTAGCGACACCTTGGGCCTTATTGATCAATTCTGTTCCATCCTGAAACCTCTCTCCTGACCTTCCTACCCTTGGGCGGCCATCTCCCCACTTACCAAACCATTTCTTCTGCTGCAATCCTTTAGACCAGTGGGTATCTCCAATTTACTGGACCCACAGTTTGTTCCTGTCCAACACCTTCATCTTGTGCTCACTTTCTTCTCACCCACAAGGGTTTCCATAATCTATTTTAAGATCACTCTCTTGCCCCTTCAACTCTCTAGCCTCGTTCCATCAGTCTGCCCTGGAAAACTGAAAAACTCTAACCCTGTTCTTTGATATTGGGTAAAAGCCGTTATACTAACTCTCCACACTGGAAAGACTATATAACTCTAGGAAATGAGAAATCTGGACAGACTTTGAGAATACAGCAATTTCCACCACCCACCCAGTGAGTTGTCAGACTCACGCAAATTAAAGCCTCATTATTATTAGGTTGGAATTGAAAGGAGGGGGAAAGAGGGGAATTTTAACTCCTTTCTGGAAATTAAACTCCTGGCTGCAAAATGAATGAAGTTATATTTGAAGTGATAAAGTGCTGCTGTCAGAGTCCAGACCTATGGGATAACCACACAAAGTATTCCCCCTTCATTCAGCTTCATTCAGCGTGGTGCCAATCGCTTGCAAATGAGGATGCTGAGTTCCTTAAAAGTACAGGACTTTTATTCCATCCTCACTATTACCCTGTTCATTCTAAAGATACAGTTAGGAAATTTCATTGCAGAAAAGAGGAATAAAAAGGTAAACTTCATGGCACCTCTGTGGTCAAAACATCAATAAATGCCCATCATATAAAATCAGGAAAATGGACACAAGAAATACATGGCACCAAGCAAGTCGCTAACGAGTGCTTTGCTGCACATAAAGTGTGAATAACATAACAGTGTGTGCCATTGTCACTAATTGTCTCAGATTGACCAAGTTTCCTAGTATTGACCATTGAAATTACTTCTTTTGAAAAAAAACTATTATAAAACACATGTCCAAGAATAATTGCTTTTTAACAAAACCAATGTGTGCAATTCTGACTCTTTGTTTTTGTTAAATTAAATGGAAAAGAAGGGGGTAAAATAGTCAACTGGTGTGGCTGGTTTTAGAGGCTCTGACCTGCAAAGCCAACTTGCCTTTTGGAAATTTTGTACTTGTTAGTGGGTTTTTAAAATACATTTCTAATTAAAATAGGATTACAACACAACACTTTTCTTCTCCCCTTTCCTCCCTCCAGTGCCCCCGAGGTATGTACGCCCCCTCCAACAATGGACAACAGCACCAAGATTGTTTGATAAAGACTCAAGAAATAATATTAGTTTATATTTACCAAAAATTAAGCGTAATATATGTAAGTATATATTAACTCATGGCTTTAAAATGGATCAAGTAATTGGAAGAGCTAAAGTAGTCTCTCAGAACCTGGACATATTAGGTAACAATATACAGCATTCAGTGTATTGCTCAATGGCACATAAATGAGGGTACCATATACCACTTTGGCAGTCACCGCTCCCCACGAGAACCATAGACTAACAAAACCCCAGTGCCAAGCATAAGAAAACTCCTTTATCTCTCAGCATAGTACAAGTGATCCCCAAAACAATATAGACTATTGATATCTCCCTTTTTGTCTCTCAGAGGTTGAATGAAGGTCAGCCACTATTGCTAAAGACACTGCACACTCTGAAAAATGGAACTCTCCATTCAAGCTGGATCTAACCTCGAAACCTCCCTCTGTGGTCTAGCTTCCACAGTACCAGAAAGTACTATTAGTAGATTTTGTTCCTAGGAGTGAAAACCCACCGTCATTTAAGAAAATGAGGAGGTTTGCCTTTGTACATGGCTGGCACTGGGCCTCTGGGATGATGGTGCAGCTCATTCTTCCTCAGTAATAATGGTAAGAATGGCATGGTTCTGAAGGTCAGAACACTGGATGCCAACAGTACATCACTTCTACAATAAAATTAACCAAAGTTCTGACCCAGTGTGGATCTCTAGTCCCTTATCCCATACAACGACCTATTGACACTGATCAAAACCCAAAGTATATTCAATCCAGTATTAACCTGTTACAGTTCACTACGCACGAGCGCACACACACGCACACATGCGCGTGCACACACACACACACACACACAAGCACACACACAAGCACACCCTCTACATTTCTGCCCTCCTGCTTTCATCCCTCCTTAGGCATGTTGACTCAGTTACTTTGATACTTGACTGGAGTTGTGTGTTTTAAGCATACTGATGGACCTCTTACCAGAGCTCACCATAGCTGGCAAGTTCTGGGTCTCCATCAATCTCTCATGAATAATGAAAACTGCTTTTCAAAGCCCATTGGAGAGGTTCATTTTTAAAATGTATAATAGGAGTTTGCAAAGTATTGATTGCGTAATTTTTCTGATTATTTTGGCTTCAAACATAGTCCAATATTAGTTTGTTCCCAAGAACCTCCATGTGTTTTTATACACTGGATTTCATAATCCTGCTTTAATAATCAAAACTAGTTGTTGTTTGGCTTTTTCTTGACAGCAATATAGATTGATATACAGTTTAAAGTTCAGGGACTTTATTTTGGCTTCCTTATCTGTGTTCCCATGACACTTCCTTCCTATCTCCATCCTCCAGCCCAAGATAGTAACAGATGGTTTAAATCTTGTTCATGCACCAGCCGTGAGCATATCATGTTGAACTGGCCTACCTTTCTGATATCTTCCCCTCATATAACAGCAGGAGACATTTGTTGGGCATACACTGGGTGTCAGACATGTACAGAGCTCTCTTACAGAGCTAGCCTATCAATACTATTGAATGCAGTTGAATACATTAATGCCACTAAACTTAGTAAACATAAAGTGGTGTCCCTTGATAAATGAACAAAATGTCACACTGTTTGGATTTAATTCTAAAACTTTGGTGAACATAAAATGAGTGTGTGTCTTGGTGGTGTGTGAGAGAATTACTAAGATGCTGACTTATCTAAAAGAACCAGTTAGGGGCAAGAAGGTAGTTCCATCCGTGAAGAGTTTGCTCTGCTATCTTGAGAACCAAAGTAAAGACCCCAAGCACCTATGCAAGAAGCTGAGTGTTGTGGTACCTCCCTTTTGCCTCAGAGCTAAAGTGGTACAGACAAGAGGATCCTGAGAGCTTGAGGAGCAGCCAGTCTAACTGAATCAGGGAGTTCCAGGTTCAGTGAGAGACCCTGCCTTTTAAAAAGGGTGAGAAATTATAGAGGCAGATGCTGGCATAGATCTCTGGACACTATGTGCGGGCACTCAGGTGCACACACATTTGCATACATAATATGTATACAAACAAATTAAAGAGCATTTTAGAAGCTCTGTAGAAACAAGTCAGTGTACTGGATTTCTGTGTTAGACACAAGACTGCCCGTTGTCTAACTGGGTTGCACCTTTAAATGTGGAACTGTCTTCTTACTTCATTAAAATGGGTTTCTGTCCCCCCCCTTAAAAAAAAACTGTTATTTTCTGTCCTTTCAAAGCTGTGATCTAGGTCAATCAATAGGAAACCCAGCACCACATAACAGAATATGCAATAGCCTGGCATACTTATTTCCAAGTCTGGGGTGGATTTCATAAGAGACTGAACATAGCAAAACTAGTGCAGCTAAGAGACCAGTGCCATCATTCAGCAAGTGGGCAAGATACCTCCTCTTACATATATAGCACAACTTAATGGGACTAGGCCAGTGACATGTAAAAGAGGGAAGGAGGGGAAAGAAGAGAGAAGGAAGAAGTCAAGGAGGAGAGAACAGAGGGAAGAAGTAGGGTGGATAACAAAAAAAATGGAGTTTGAGTTTGTATCCCTCATTCTTAATGCCTACAGTCTGGATTCCCCAAAATATTTCTGCTTAGAGATTTGGTTTTATTCAAAGGTTTATAGTTCTGTCAAAATCAAGGGAATTGGAACTACTAACAATACTGTACTAACAATATCTGAATAAATGCTGAAAGACCAGAGGAGGACTAATGCTAATAATGGCTTACTCATCTAAGAGTGTTGATTTACACCAATGGTAGATTTTCTGCAGTTAGGGCAAATAGGCTGTGCTCATTGTTAAGATGCTTGCTTAGGGACCTCATTTAGATTTTGATCTATATATTACTGCTTGGATTTTTTCCTTTTGTGTGGTATTTTTTGGGTAATAAACACTTTGGTGTTTCATGTGCAGCTATCCAAACCCTTCTGGTCTGAGATTGGTATCTGTAGCCTGAAGCAGAGAAGAAAAGAAACTTACTTGCTGCTTGCTTCTTAATGCAAAAATAAAAGATATAAAAATTCAAATGTATGTAGAATTTATTTTCCCTTTTGTAATGTTAAACTTTTCATTCACAGATTGTCAGAGGAAAACACTGCTGGCCAAAGAATACTGGGTTTGGAACACCTAGAGTGACCTGGACAGGCATTTGGGTGAATGTGTAGCAAGTTCTACCTTACAATCCCGGAGTGGGGAATGTCTGTGAGTTGTCACCATTGGTGTTTGGCTAAGCAGAAATACCCCAAAAGAGTGTCAACAACCATCCCATATGATCTCTAATTTTGGTTTTAATAGAAATTAGTAATCTCAATGACAATAGCAAATGGAAACAAAATGGTCATATTTTCAATTTTTCTCAATATCAACCAATATGCAAATCATTTTTAATGGAGTATTAGAACTCATTCTTAACCAAAATAATCCTCCTTTTAACAGAGACAAATCATAGAACTCTGTGCAGATTCACCTACCTGGTGATGGTGTGAACACAGATGGGCTCCCTGGGTCCTTTCCTAAGCAGATGCACATGTACCTGGAGTTACCAGAAAAGAAAGATGATTAAATCACTGTCTTCTACCATCAAACTGAAAAAATGCCTCAAATGAAGTGGCCACTGATGAATGTTACCAATTCTAGATACTTTACCAAAACTGTTCATTTAATCCTGCAGCTTCTTATAAGGCAAATGACATGTCCTTTTTTAAAGATATGACCATCAAGCAAAACTCAGTACCTGCAGCTTGTCAAGTGTTACATAGGCGACCCACTAGAAACGTTACCACCAGGCCCTCTGTATACATCCATGGTTTGTCAGCTTGCAGTATTTGTAGGACTTCTAACAGTGGGAGAGGGGGTTATCTCTGACTCTTTTGCCTGCCCTTGGGGACCTTTTCCTCCGACTGGGTTACCTTGTCCAGCTTTGATATGAGGGTTTGTGCTCAGTCTTACCACATCTTGTTATGCTGTGTTTAGTTGATATCACTGGGAAGCCTGCTCTTTCCTGATGGGAAAATCTAGGAGCAGTGAATCTTGGGGAGAAGGAGAGAAGGTGGGAAGCAGGAACTGGGAGAAGTGGAGGGAGGGGATGCTGTAGTCAGGATGCATTGTATGAGAGAAGTTTAAAAAATTAAAAAAAAATCTTTTAGCACCTCAAATTTCAACCTAAAATCCTCTAAACCAAGAGGTGGTGGGCAAGAGAGGAAGCCAAAAGAGCTCCCCGAGAAACCCTAAGTCAGGAAAGGCATCCGAAATTTAGTGGCCAGCAGATGGACCAGGAGGCATCTCAGCACAATAGATGCTGCAGTAAGCCTGCTCCTAAGTTCACCCTGGAGCTCACATGGGAAGATCTGATCCGGGAACACATTCATATTCTGGGCATGCCCACCAAGGAATGTGTAGCTCCACCAGCATCTGTAGTACCCCTCTTACATCATGCATGGGCCTCAGTGTGAAACGTGAAAATTGAAATGCCCCAGTTACAGAAAAATCTTGGGACAAGTGTCCACTGTTTTCCCAAGTGCTGCCCCATTCTGAATGTGATTGCAATGGAATATAATCAGAAAACTCACAAAAACAATTCCCTGTGTGCTGCAAGTTCAAATGTCCAGTCCTTGTAATGAATCATTTGATGGGTCATATTATCAAGAGACCTTTCAGATCCTAGCAATCCCCATCAAAGTGCCCAGCTCTGACAAAGAAAGAAAGCCAATCATGTATTCAGCTATCCAAAAGCAACAAAAAGATACCAATAACTTGGAGAAACTGACTGGCTAAATTTTCCTCAAATTTGTTTGGACTTCATGGTCTTGAGCTGTGGTTAGCTTATTGATTTGTTCTTGCCAGCAACAAGAACTTTGTATGAATTAGTCTGATGAGCAGTTGGTGTGTTTGCTGGATTTTCATCAGTGCTTAAGTCTTAAAAACCTTTTAACCAACAGATTATAAGGGTTCAATTTCCCCGGAACAGTTTTCCGAGAGATCAATTGGTGTTCTTCACAAGGCCCATGATGACAACACCAGACACCATACTTGGAATATCATGCTCTATTGGATTATTCTTGACCTTAGCTTTCCCCACAGGCTAAGCCTTCAGTCATGTGTGATTATTTCTCTTCATACATTGCTTCTATCTACTCCCAGGCAGGCTGAATGGTGTTGAGAATGCAGAAATAACCAAAGCACCTCAAGAGACACAAAGACTACTTGAGGAATACAACAAAGTAACCATTAGCAATAGGATAGTCTGGAGACGGAAGTCCTGAGTCCTTTTAGAGTCTTAGCTCATAAGCTTCTTCAACAAAAGTCAAGGTAATCTTTCAAGAGAAATATGAAGCCTGGTCAGAGTCATGACCAGCGGATAGACTGCTTGGTAGAGACAAAGCAATGGGGCTGCAAGGGAAAAGAGCCGCAGAACACTGAGACTTTGAGCGTCTGATGCTCATAGGACGGGAAGCTGCCTGGATCTTGGAAGAGAGGGAAGTGATGTCTCAAGCAGACCAACAGATTTCAGGAGGATTTCAGGACTGAGAGATCCAGACTATTTGCTAAGTTAAGAGGAGCCTAAGAAAGATATCAGGAAGTAAGACATGAGGACTAGGATTGAAGAGTCAGGAGGCTGTAAGTGCTAACTTGATGAACAAGCCATAGGAAGATTGTCTTGAATAGTCCTCTGCGTGTTTTCTGCAGTAAGATTTGCCTCCACTCTAATCTAAGATAACAGATGAGGAATATTTGGGGGAATTGTAGTTTAATCTCTGTGTCTATATAAATAAATTTTCCCACTGAGAAATTATTTTAGTCCAATCAGAAAACACAAATCACTCTAGGTATCCACAAAG